TCATCATCAAATGCTTCGTATTCTCGTCCTGCTCCCCAATGTGTACCTCATCTTCATTGGCCAGAGGCTTCTCCACGTCGCCCAACTCGTTCAACCAGGCCAACACATGTTCACGACTTAAACCTCCATTGACTTCCAACACCACCATGTCATCATCTAATGGTATCCACGTTCCTAATGCCTTCTTAGACGGTAGTCGCACCTCTACGCCACTTGAGTTAATCGCCGGAACCCACGCCTTGCCGCTTTGTACCCGAGTTATCGTCGCGGCCAGCATCACGGTTCCAATGTGCTCCGTCGGCACAAAGATACCCTTTTCCCCGTCCGTGGCAGCCACCGCCACTTCCACAGGCACAACAGCGCTCCCGATCAGCTGCGTCCTCTTGGCCATACGCACCGCTGCCACCTTCACGCCCTTATTCTCGTCGAAAGTCCGGAAAGGAATCACCACACGCCGCCCTTCATCGTTGTACCGCATTTCATTGGTGTCGAAGTCCATAGTCGCACCGTGACTGCGCATGAAGTCAACACCCAGGAGGAACTCGTCGGTGCACCCGGCCACGATGCACGCGTCCACACTGATCACATCGCCATACGCGTTGCGCATGGCAAACCGCCACACACCCACTACGTCAAGAAGGAACCCACCGATTCCTTCCACGTAATCCACGGGAGCTACAATATCAACCCGATCACCAACCCGCATCCATGCCGTGCCAGCAATGGTGAACCTCGCGCCGCTGTCCAGTTTCACTGCCCGTTGTTCACCATCAACCTCCATCCGCGCGGTTGGCAACCCGTCGTCAGCACCGACATACTCCACGCCATCAGCGACATCACCATCGCTTGTCTGAACTTTGGGCCGTTGAACTAAACTTACTCTTGCGGGATCTCCACTAGACGGACTCGTATTGCGGGTGCGAGTGGCGCGGCGATCATCCAGGTCCGCCAGGGCGCACTCTTCTACTCGTTGTCTCACTGCTCGTCGCTCTTCGTCGGTCGCTGTACTTTCGCCTTCGTCGCTTCCTCTTCAACCCGCCGCCGCTCCTTAGCTTTCGTTACTTGCATTTTCTTCCCTTCTCGTCGCTTCAGCCGCCGCGCTGCCCGCTTCTCCACCAGCGCCGCATCCGCATTACCCAGTTCATCGGTCACCTGTACTGCGTTAACGGGTAAAACACACACTGCGCCTTCTCCAGTCCGACACCCGTCCGCTTGTTCCGCTTTGTTTACACTTTCTTTCGTTGGCGGGGCTCGCACTAATCGAGCGCCAGCCATAGGTGGTCGCACGGTCGCCAAGTAACGTTCCGCACGCTCTTCATCTCTGGCCAGTGTATCCGCCTGGATACACTTCATCACTCTGCTCACGTAAGTCCCCTCGCTCTGGTCGTCCACCTCCACCGTCACCTGCTGCTCAACTCCTTCTTCGCCACCCATGCCACCGTCGATCTTGGCTTCTTCATTCTTGGCCGGCACCAATTGTCGGGGATCCGTTGGTGGTGCCGGACGCCGTAGTCCCCTCACTGCGCCCGACACTAGTTTTCCGCTGGTTTAGTTGTTTCTGGTCGCCGCTTCATATACTCCTCATTGCGGGCTTTCGCCTCGGCATCTGAGCAGTCTCGTGCAAAGTGGCCATACTCGCGACACGCGTAACACCTAGGCCCACGTGGACATTCCGCCACACGATGCCCAGACTGCCCATAATTAAAGCAGCTAAAACCCGGAGTGATTACCGCAACCGTAAATTGAGACATTTATGGTCGTTTTAAAGACTTTATGGTTGCGTTACCCAAATTCATAAACTACCTGCGAAACTAAAATAAAAAAAAACGCTTTCGTCTTAGGTAAGTATCTGTTCTTTTAAGTTCGATTCGTTTTAAATACGATCATTGTGAGCCTCCCATTTCAGAAATTGCCGGGCAGCGAGATGAACGGGCGGCTTGCGCCATGAACCACGAGCTCCACACCCTGAAGCTGACGCTACTGAAGACCCATGAGTCGTGCGCAGGACGCGGCCAAGCCTGGTACGTAATGCAGTACTTGCGGCTGACGCAGCAAAGTTAGTTTGATCTTATGTGCGAATCCGTAGACTGGCGAAGGACGTACGAGGCTGCGAGACCTGTATGCGGTAATTGGCATCGAAGACGCCCAACGACAGCAGTAGCGATGATAGCAGAGACGAGGATGCGTCTGCGGGCTAGGAGGATAGCAACGCGGAAGGAAAAGATTCATTTTCGGAGTCAGAGAGTGATCTATCATTGAGCGCTGGTACGCACGTTTGCTGTCATGTTAATTTTTTGCGATGTGCAATTACTTATATTAACATTGGGGTGTGTTTTGCAGCTCGTGTGCAACGCAAGAAGACAAAGAAAAAGAGAAACGAGAAGACACACGCAGGTAAAGTTGCTTTAAAGCGGTTGTGGTTGATTTAGCGAAGGTAATTTTATATTTAATTTGTTATTTTAGCCTCTATGAAGAAAGAGAAGTTAATCCGCGAATTACCACACCTGCCGTCGCTGCCGCGTCCCTTCAAGAAGCAGAAAATTGGGGGACAGTCGGGTCCGGCGGAAGGTACACAGCGTGAGCGACCCAGACTTACACGCCTGCCCAAATCCACTGCAGATTACACGCCTAGAATCCGAAAAAGTAAGCACCTTGAAGAGATGGACTCCATGAACGGTGGTGGTGAGGACGAAAACGTGAACGTGGTGGAGCCGTTCAGGCCGAAGGCACCACTTTTGTCGTGGATTGATTTTGAAAAGGAATTCAAGAAATACATGGAGAAGAATAATTTAAAGTTTCGTGTGCGGAGCTCCGAACGAACGGCGTCTTACAACACGTACGCTTGTTTAACTGGTGTGATCTGTCTAAACATATTAATTAAAAGGAATGCTCTTATTTTGTTTTAATTTAGCGCGCATGAAGCACAAATCCCTACTTCGTTTGAGTATTCGGAAAGAATCTACCGGTGCACTCACGGTGTATCCCAAAAATCAAGGTCCAAGAGGCATCGCAATTGAAAGCAGCGGTACTGCAAATGCACAGCACGGTTAACGGCCACCGTGAGTCGCGTTTCGGGCAATCACTACGAAATCGTGCTACGAAACCAGGTTCGAGACTTATTATTAATGTTTGCGTGATAAAGAATCCGGCTGACATCTGTAAACTTGTTGCTGTTTCAGAACCATACACATTCGCACGACAACAGCAGAGCACAAGCTTCAAGCTACTTGACAACGGCGACGCTGCCGCTGGACGAACAAGATATGGAGGATGTGAAAACATTGGCAGATGCGCGTGTTTCTTCTACCCACATCACCAATTTCTTGAACGACCGCATTGGTTAGTTGTTTATTTTTTATTATGTGGTACTATTCAATCTAACCGACTGGTATGCAATGTCTTACGCTGTAAAGATTGTAAAGTGACACCACAGCAAACCAGAAATCTTCTCCGGAGTATCATGGGGCCAGATTCCGCTCAGGATCGTATGAAAGACTTGCTGCATGCTCTTCGACAGATTGAAGGTAGCGATATGCTCGTTATCCAGGACCAGATGGACATCACCTGTGGAGCCATCATGCAAACGAAAGCGCAAAATATGATATTTGAGCGGTGGGGTGAAACCTTGACGATGGACTTCACGCACGGAACGAACAATCTTGGCTACCATTTAGGTACGCGCAGAAAAGCAACCTTATGTTTATAGCAACCTTAAGCGCAGCCTTAATTTTTTACAACAACCTTGGCTCTCATTTGGTTGCTACTGTTGTGTAGGGAGTTTGGTTGTCACTACGCGTACGGGTAGAGGGTTCCCAGTGGTTGACTTTATTTGCCTCAGTGAGAACGCTGTCACGATTAAAACGATCTTGGTATATTTCAAGGACAAAATCCAAAGTGGAAAGACGTCACGAGTGTGGTTATCGACAAAGATTTTGTAGAGTGGCAAGTGCTTGAGGAGTGCTTTCCAACCGCCCAGGTGCTACTCTGTCAATTCCACGCCATTACATACTGGAAAAAAGTGATGAAACGCAAAGTATTTGAGCTCAAGATGGCACAGAGAGAAGAACTTATCGAGTTGCTGACGAAGATGCTGTATTGGTGCGCTGCAGTCAGCAAATTTCTCTATTGCCTTTTCACTCATTTGTTGTGGTTACTGGGCAGCCGCACACAAGACGCGTATGTATCTGCAGATGATGCAATGAAGAAATACTGCAAAAAGTCAAGGAGGACCAATTTCTTTGCGTATTTTGAGAAAAACTGGCATTGGTGTCGACAAATGTGGTCGAACTATGAACGCGAAAAACATTTTACTGCTGGTAATACGACAATTAACAGGATCGAGTGTAATTGGAAATACTTGAAGATGCTTCTAGGCCTCAAGACTAGAATTGACAAGACGTTGGCGGGTTTACTCCAGCACCAGATGATCATCACGCGGCAGATTACATCCGAAATCGGGAAACAACATTCTTCCTCTCGATTGCCCAAGACAGTTTGTGAGCAAGGCACAATCGCCGGTATCCATCACAGATGAAGCTGATCACAAGAATACAGCTGATCACAAAAATGCAGATGATTACGAGAATGCAGTTGATTACAAGAAAGTCGAAAATTGTGAGGTTGGTGAATCTGCTTTACATCCAACTACCGACCCAGCGATGCCTACGCAGCGAGTGGATATCATAAACGTCCCAAAGCCGAAGACCCGAGGGAGACAACGATCAAATCCACAGCAGCTAAGACAGACAAAGCTTACCTCAGTTCATACTCGTCTCGCCGTGCACAAATACCCTAGTGATCTCACCGTACAGCTTGATGAGTTTGTCGTTTGGGCACGCAGCACAGAGAATGTCAGAGCTGTGGCGGGCATGATAGACAAATACCCTGTCCAACTAGACGATGCGTACCTCAGGGGTCGCACAATCGAATGCAGCTGGGGAGCTGTACGACCAGCAACGTACATGCACCCATTTGTAATCCCTGGAGACATCACGCGGTCAATGCAAGCTTCAATCAAGACAGCTAAGTCCGAGCAACGTCACCCAGATCCACTCGACGACCGCATCAAGAAACAAGGAATCGTGCTCGATCTCGTAGCTTCTATCGACCCCAAACTTTGGAAATTCAGCGGGTAAGGTTGCCATTCTCGTATGGTTGCTTTTTATTTTTATGGTCGTCATATTGTGGTTGCTATAACTGTGAGCTGTGATTTGTACTAGACAATACGTGGGAGCTGCAATTACATTCTACGCGATAAAGGCCAAGGTACAAGCATGGTTCAAAGATCGGAAATGGTTGGAGAAAAACTGGCGGAAGGTAAACTCCGATGTGGATCTATTTGCTGTGGAGACTGAAACGAGTGGGCTATCAGTTGATGCTGTAAAGGGGCGACACTGCACCATGGCAAACGAGGTGATCTCAAAGTTTGCATCCAGTCGACTAAGTTCTGAATATACGGCACGGTCGGGTAAGGCCTGCATCGCCTTCGAAAACGTTGTTGGTGGACTCTGTTGAGGATGGCCGAATGATAGCCCAATTGACTTCTGTTTGGAAATCATTGGAAGCACGGTGCGCACTGTTGTTTAATTAACATATTTATACTTTATTAACTTAAAAAGGGATGGTAATAATGTAAAAATCATTTTTATTAAGTAAAATGAGTTGCTTTGCCCCTTCCATAGTATATCACTATTAGTGATTCAACGGCAATCGGCTAGTGGCGGACCTGCGCGATGTCCAAGACCTGCTGACGATCAAGAAACGCGATCTGGATGAATGGGCGCGACAGGAGAAGGCTGCTCAAGCAGAGCTCCTGACGCTTGTGAGCGGCGGCACGGGGTCAAGTGTTACACCTCGCCCGAGCTTTGCGGCGCTGCAGGAGCTGTTTAAGAGCAAGATCAAGCGAGCCAAGAAGAAACCAGCTGCGGTGGCAAGGAAGAAGGGAAAGAGCCTGACAGTGCGAGAGACGGCGAGGAGCAGGAAGACGACGACGAAGAAGAAGAACACGAAGCCGAAGACTATGACGAAGATGACGACGACGATGCCGAAGAAGAAGAGGATGCCTGTCCGTCTGGATGCGACTTGACTCTGTACGAGAAGGTGCTGGCCCTGCGTGAGAAGCGTGCCGATGTAGACGACGCCATGGGGGAGCTGAACAAGGCGATCGAAGAGCTTCGGAAGGCCGGAGAGCGTCAGACAGCCAAGCAACGTGCGATTGACAAGGAGCTGGCTATGACGGAGCAGGATACGCAGCAGTTCCAGAGTGAAAAGCAGTTGCGCTAGACGTCGTGGTGCCGCTCAGTACGCGGCAACTATGTTGTCTTGAAGCCCCGTCTCCGACTCAGCAGAACTGTACGCTACCTGCTCAAGCTGCTGGCTGCCTCGTGTTCACCACTCGCGCCTTCTCTGCGTTGTCTGAGCGTATGAGTCGCTGCAAGCAGAGAATAAGAAGCTGCGTCAACAGTTCCGAGACCTCCACAAGCAGCAGAACGTGCTTGCTATGGAGAAGCGTCAGCAGCAAGAAGCCATTGCAAGAGCTCAGGACCGCAGCGAGCAGCTCATGCGACTGAAATTCGGACAGCTAGTGGACCTGGAGGTGCTGGACCGCGCTTGTGACGCGTCTTCGGTGGACGAGTTGCTGACTCGCGTCAAGTTACGCGAGGTCGAAGGTGAGCGATCTCTGCGTCAGACTCGCGTCAAGTTATGCGAGGTCGAAGGTGAGCGATCTCTGCGTCAGACTCGCGTCAAGTTACGCGAGGTCGAAGGTGAGCGATCTCTGCGCCATTGCATACCGAAATCCATCTCACTGGAGAAAAAGACTCAGTAGAGAGCTGATACTAAGACTAAAATCAATTGACGCCATATTTGATTCAGGTTAATGGAGCGAATACCAGTGGATTTACGCATCTCTGCTATAGCTGTACTCTCTCAACTTCAGTGACGATGGGAAACAGAATCTGCAGTTTTACTTTCCGAGCCCTGATTCCACGCAGTGTTCGTTCTTGGGGGTAGTTGGGGACATTCTCAGTCGGTAGTTCTGTGCGATCGGGGAGCGGAATAATATCTTCGAAAGTGCCGAGGTCTGCTGTGCTTAATGAGTCGGGAGGGGCTTGTGCGTCATTTGCGACGGGTGAGTCAGGAATGGCGTTCTCCCATGCAGCAATGCAACCCTCGTCGCCGTCTATGTCACCGCCATCTTCACCAGAATTGTCGTTGGCTCCATCGCTATCTCCTGCTAAAGCGAAGGTGTCGTGAAGGTCTCGGGTTACTGAAGGTGTTGGAGAAGATGCTATTTCGTGTGGTGATTGGAGCACGGGCAGATTTCCAGCTCCGCAGTAAAGCAAGCGACTTGCATGTGAGCTTGCATGGCTTCCTCGTTGCCTAGCATCTTCACTTCTTCTTGCTCGACCAGACTGTCGAACGGAGCTGCCACGTCGTGTGCGATCAGCGCTTGATGGAGTTCGATGACGTGGCGTAGTATACAAGTTAGAGGACTGCATCTCGGCTGTCTCATCAACTTCGACCGCTTCGTTAGCCAAATTTCGTCCTGGTGTGACGTTTTCAAATAGGCTGGGAGCTATACATTGTGTGTCGGCATGATCACCAACACTATCACATCGCTCAGGAGAGGAAGTGGTAGGGAAGCTCGGTCGGATCAAGTGGTGCAGTTGCTTTATCTTTGACTGTAGCAACACCTTTTGTATTTTTCTCTCGGTTTTTGCTTCGGACATGTTGTCTGACAATCTGCTGCTTGAGTGTTTTTTCAACACGCGTCTGGTTGCGCCGTGGAGAGTGAATAAGACCAAGCTCACTGAAGAGCCGTTCGCAGGTGGCGGTGTTCACAGCAACTGACAAGATAGTCAGCGCTAGCACCGGTAGCTTATCACACGGGTTATTCCTTTGCTGATACGTCCAGTATTGCATGATAGAGCCACTAAAATCCGCCGGGGTTGTGTTGCCGTACTGACCTATTATCCACGCAGACATTTCCCCTCGCAAGCCCGTGACATCCTCATCTATGTAGCGACGGTGATAGTACAGCGCAGATTCACATACGTCATGCTCCCTGGTCAGTCTTGTAGATGGCGTACGACGAGCTTCTTCCACAAAAACAGGATGAAGAAAATATCCCAAGATAAAAAGAGGCTGCTCACACGAAGCCCAGCGCTCTTCCACACATTCTACAAGCTTGTCTGAGTAATCACTAGCAGCAAACCTTAAAGATGTCTCCAAATGATTTCACAACGTCTGCTAGGGTGTTTTCATCGCGCTGCAATCGAAAAGACGCAATACAGAGGGGGCGCACAACTTTTTCCGCATCCTGTAGATCCCGCCAAAACTGTTGTTTCCCCAGAACCCGAAGTTTGTCAGGGAACTCGGTATCGTTTCTATATGCAAACGAGAAATCTTCAAGGGCCGATTTAACTCGTAATAGTGATGCAAAACATTTTTGCATGGAATTCCATCTTGTTAGACACAGCGAGAACAGCGCCGGAGCTGGAGACTTGCCGTATCGCGCAATCATTGCCCTATCAGCGCGGACAAGCCATTTCTCAGATGGAGAATTCAGGAACCTCACTGCAGCTGCGGCCTGCTCTGAAACATCTCTAAAAACTCGTTTTAGCACTGCTTTTACCAGATTATTGATGTCGTGGGCGAAACATCGCATGAAAATAATGCCAGGCCATCGTAACGCGAGAATCCGTCTAGCTCGACCACACTGACCCGCGTTATCAGTAACAACTGCTCCGACATTCCAGCCTCCATCAAGTAATTCTACCAAAATCTCTTTAAGTTGCTTTGCAATTACCAATGCATGATGCTCCGATCCGGTGGGACGTAGCGCATAAGTCATCACATCGCCAAATAGTGAAAGTTGACACCCCAAAATGTGTTGCTTGGCAATATTTTGCCAAACGTCCGAGAGAAAATTAACACGACCACCCGAGACTCGCTGAATTAATGCTAACGCTTTACGTTGTTCGCCAGCGTAAGCTTCTGCGTACTTGTCGAGTACATCTTTACCGAAAACATGTCGACCGGGAAATGCTCCTTCACACTTAGCATTCAGCCACATAAGCAGGTTACGAGCTGACCGGAGCCCCACGAATGAGTCAGGCAGAAGCGCTTCGGCCTGGAACTCCAGTAGGAGCCTCCAGAATGTATCTCGCTCTGCTACAGTAAAACTCGACGCATGTTTTGGCTTCTTATTTGAAGGCGTCGATGACTCGTCACCAGGGCGCTTAAATCCAACGAACTCGCCTTCGTAGTGCACGCATCGACTAAGATGTTTTTCCCAGTAATCTCTCCGTCCCCGGATCCGCTCCGGATCAGGTCCACGGTGGTCGATGTGGTGCTGCTGGCACCGGTTGCATACCGTCCAGTAGAGGGCGGAGTTTGCCTTCCCGCCAGTACGTGTGAAAAGCGCGCTAAGTTCGCCTGGGGGGCGACCGGATTTAGCTGGAGGGCGAACAACAATCATGAATCTCGGCGAAAGTCTTGTGGAGTTGGAAGAGAACGAAGAACTGGCTTAAATGTTGAGCTAGGATTCGAAAGATCCGAAGCTTGAAGTAGCTCGCTAACTTCAAGCAGGTCCATTTTTACAATGCTTACGTAAATATTTTGTAGAAACGTAAAAAGTCGAGTTATTAATAGCTTTTTACTTATTAATGTAGAAACCTTATTACCAAACTTGACAACACTGCGGTGCGGGATTGCTACGTCCTGTCATCATTGACGGCAGCTGTTGGATGGCCAAAGACACCAAACACGCGTATCACTTCTACCAAGTTCATGATTCAACCTGTCAACCTGAACCAAAGCCACTGGGCTATCATAATAACCGATACGCTACGTTGAAGACAAGGACACATTACATGTGCATCCCTACCTGTATGAGCCCGTGATTGACGAAGGTTATCATGGGGACATGGAGGTGGTTTGGAACGGTGTTAAGGACGGCGATGGTAACTCAGTTATGGAAGGGCTTTGTGGTTTTGTGGCGAGATGGAGTAAGGCATCGGCACCTGCGGCAAAATTATGCATAGACCCTATTGAGTGGATTGAAGCTCCACAGCAACCCGACTACTCAAGCTGTGGTGTGTTTGTTGTGGCCCAAGCTTACAGCTATGTGACCGCGAATCTTCGCTGGCAATGCAGATGTAATGGGCTCTCCCAAGTTGCATATGTAGGTAGTTTTATAGGTTCTTTGTAGTGGTTCACACCATTACATAAGTAGGTAGATTTGCATTACAAAAGTAGGTGCAGCAGCACACGAGTAGCGTGTGCTGAGCTGCCGTCACCTTATTGGTTGAAATATGGGGAGCCAGACCCATAATCAACCAATAAGGAGTTGACGTGTATTTGAGTGGTCAGGGCAAGCTGCCCTGGACCTAAATAAAAACAGAGTTGATTTTCCTTCAGACTAAGTACTTGGTTTCAGTATCACTGAACTTGTACGCTTCCTCATCACTACGTGTAAGCAAGTAACGGACACCCCAGGCCCGTTACACCTGGTAGCACTTTGTAGTCCTTCCCATGACCAAGTTCACGATGAGCCAAGGTATGATGTCTGAAACTCCAGGGCCGACCCTGGAACATGCTGCTTTCCCTCATCTCACTCGTGTCGAGTGGGAAGCCCTTTACCGCCTCGCGGCGGTGTCTGGTGAGGCTGTAATCGCGTCGCTGCTGAGCTCAGCGACGTCCGACCAACAACGCCAAGCAGCCCAAGAGTTCACGGAACGCGAGCAAGCCGATGCGAATCGGCGAGCAACAACTCCCGCGCGTTCCTCGAAAAATGATGTCGTGAAGCTAGAGACGTCTACCTACTCCGGTGAAGGAGCGAATCGCCTCCCGCTGAACCGGTGGTTTCGCGAGGTCGACATCGCGATTGCTTCGAGAATGATCGAAGCGCAAGGGACAAAGGTCAATTTCTTATTGTCCCGGTTGTCCGGGGAGGCCAAGGAATGGGCCCTCGGTAAACATGTCGTTGATCACGACGCATTCCCCACTCTGGAGTCTCTCCAGAAAGATCTCAGGCTCGCGTTCGAGCCACCTCAAGACGAATCCCGCGTGCGTGCCGAGTTCTTCGCCCTTCGTCAAGGCAAAATGACTATGCGCGACTACGTTCAAAAGACTCGCCACCTCGCGTCATGCATCGTGACAAATCCGATTGACGCAGCATCGCAGGTCCATGTATTCGTATTCGGCATGCGTGAAGGCATGACACGGTACTGCCTGACCCGAGCGGAACCTTCCTCTCTCGAGGAAGCATTCGCCCTCGCGTTACGCGAAGACTACGTTGTGGCGGCGTCTTACGCGCGCGCGATGTCAACGGCAGCTCGTGAGTCAGCCCCCGAGCCCATGGAGATCGACGCGATTGACACATCGAATAATCATCGTCAGTCGACTCCTCGTGGGCCCAACGGCCGTCCTAATCGCCCGCTCACTTGCTTCCGCTGCCGGAAGATCGGTCATCGCGCGGCGGAATGTCGCGCGCCAGCGCCGGTACTCGCGCACACCGCTGAAGTCTCACCTGCCGTTCAGTCAAAAAACGGTCAGGGCCAGTAGGTGCGGGGCGCCCTACTGGCTGGAATGGAGGTCCGGGCCCCCCGGTGGCTACCCAACCTTCTAGCCCTCCTGTGCACGTTAATGTTACCACCACGTCGGGCGACTCGAGGCTGATCATCGTCAGTCTTCATGTCGCCGGCGCCCGGCGACCACTTCGCGCGCTCCTGGACTCAGAAGCGTCGAATAACTTCTTTCGCGAATCGTGCTTATCGATGCTTCCAAGAGAGATCGCAGTCCGTAATGGTCGAGGTCAGGTCG